GACTATGAAAAAGTTGTACAACAAGAAGTCTCTTGTGCTCTTGATAAAGGCAACAAGCAAGGACCTTTCCAATACATGCAAGGATGGAAGGATGAGCTGTTGCAGATGCACTTAATTAAGGGGGTGCAAACGCCTGTGATAAAAGGCTACCGCCTATGATGAAAGGCGAACACACCAAAGAGAGTTGGTGTAGGTGGAGCTGTCAAGTACAATGATGAAAGATGTAGAAGCTCATAACATAGAAATCGAGGTGAAGGATTGGGTGAAGTATACCGCAACTTTCTCTTTCTATGTAATCAGTAAAGAATTTATGGAGCCACTTTGAAGCATCTCAGCTAAAGGAGGATGTGACCGCCTATGAAAGGTGAAGACACCTTAAAGAGAAGGTGTGAGGGCTATGAGATGAGCCCATGATTAGACCGTCGCATGACGACGAGCGGAGACACCTCAGGAGAAGGTGTGAGGGCCGTGGAAGAAGCCCAGTTTAGAATACCCTAGAGCCAATGTGATGGCTAGGTATGAGGGGTATTATAAACCTTGATATGAGGCTTGATGAATCATTCCGGACCGAGCATGGTTGATACGCTCGAAAAGAAATGTTGTTCTAGAGATAAGCGTTAACACTATTCAGATGTGATGTGGCATACCATCTGGTTATAGTGATCCTTTTGTGTGAGAAAAGGTGTGCTTAAGTTACTTTGATGATTGAAAGGTTTGGCAAGTAACTGTAAACTTGGCCACAAACGCTCTCAAAATGGAAAGCTTGGAAGAGCTGCAAGATGCAAGCTTGTGTTGAAGAAACAAGAGGATAATTGCTCCACATGAATGGCAAAGGAGGTGATTGTTAGGTTGGTTGTCATTAACGTGCAACAACCATTGACTATTGCACCAACCATGTGCACTCATCCAAGATGTCAAAGGTTGGTAACCACCATTATTGAAGAAGAGTTAGAGTTGGCAGCCACCTTTGTTGAAGAAAAGCCACCATGAATGCCTATAAATAGAGGCATATGTAAGAGAGCAAAATGTGTGAAGAGAATAAAGAAAAAGAAAGAGCTGCAATGGTAGCAGCCTTGCTGCCATTGCAGCAGCTGCAAGTGCAACAAATAGAGGGCTAGGAGTAGAGTAGAGTGAAATTATCATTCTCCTCCATGTATTTGTTTTGTATTCTTTCTCTAATCTCTAATAATATAGACTCTTTTCCGTGGATGTAGGTTATTTGTCGAACCACGTTAAATATAGTGTCAATGTGCTTGGTCTCCTATAAATAAGTATCAGAACATCACCGGTCGAATTTCTCAACAGTAACACTCTAGCTTCCTTCTCCTCAGTTGTCTAAGCAATTTACTGTTGATGAGCTGTACTTTGTCCTAGCAGCTTCTTTCTCCTTGAAATTTCATTCTTTCAATTGTTTCCTTTCCCTTTATTTGGAGAGTAGGACTTAGTAGAAGTGTTACCATGGCATCTTTGATTATAAAGAAACCAACCAGCTCTGGTAAGCATAATATATAAAGAAACTTGAAGATTGACTTCTCTGGAGTCCACTCATGCAAAAATCGATGATTGCTGTAACAAGAAGAGTTCATATAATAATAGATTACTCTATAGATCAAGGGGAAAACGCAACAATATTCAATCTCTTTGTTAAGCTTGTTTTTCGGCTAGCCTAAAAGCAACAAGATTTATCATCACAATTGCCACTGCTTATCAGATAGGATCCCATTTTAAATAGTTGTCAACCATGACTTGGAACCTGAACCGGGTTTCGCATGGAAAACATCCTTAATGTCGAGTAGGGCTTCCCCGTTGTCCGGTTGTGTCAAGTTCTGAATTTGATTGCCTGCCACGCACTTTGGTGTGCGAGTTCCTTGTGTCAGAAACAGATTTGTTGCTTCTTATGATATTTTCAGTTTTATGCTGTTTTACAGGATTTTATTGAGCATTCTGATGAGATTTCTTGACACTTCATAGATTGCATACTTTCCCTCAGACGAACTCCAAATCGTAGGTATTGATCTTAGAGCTGATAAATCTTGTGCCTCAAATAACATGTCTATAGTTGATGGCAGACAGGCGTTCTATGCATATTTTTTGTTTTGATGTTGATTGATTGTGTTTATTTTCCCAATTTGAAGCCCAAAGAAAAGTGTTTTTTTTTTTTTTCCCAGCTTGAAGCCCAAAGAAAAGTGTTTTTTTTTTCCAGTATCAACTGGTAGAATCATGGTGTCCTGTTACGTGTGGATATTAAAGGATTGTTTGGAAGTGTAATGTAGTTGTTTTTTAAAATGTTTTTTATTTTAAAATATATTAAAATGATATTTTATTTTTATTTTTAATATTAGTTCATAAAAAATATTTAAACAAGATAAAAAAATAATTTATAATAAAAAATTTAAAATTTAAAGAAATATCATTTAAAAAGTCATGTTAAATATGATTTTATAAACAAGATTGATTGCAATTAGAAAATGATAGAAAGAATATGCTAAAAAATAATATAAATTATATAAATATAATTTTTGAGCTGGGATGAATATTAAGAATATAAATTAATTACAAAAACCAACACTTGAAACTCATATCATTGAAAGAATTACAATTCAAGTTTTCTCCTGCATCCCACAAATGGAAACAAGAAATTAATATCATTTTCTCACAACAAAAATTTATTAATATATCGGCATTCTCTTCAGTAATCCCTTCCAAAACTATTCCCTCTGTAATACCTCAGCTGCAAAGAAACCTGCCTTTCCATTAACAGTTGCTGTCGAAAATTATTAATAAAAATCTCAGCCCTCTTATCAATATCTTCATCTGGCGAGCCTAACTTCTAACCCTTTCAAATGTTCGAACTGGCTTGTACTTTTGATGATCTGATTCAACATCTTCAATTGCCCCATGCAATCCAGTTCTATCATTAAAGCTCAACCTCCTTGCCCTTCTAGAGGAAGAAGAAGACGCAATGCTAAGAATTGAAGCCAATCGCCACCTTCTGAAATTGAAGCTAAGTAGAAAGTTTATTTTCTTGACAGTCCTCTTCAAAGGGCCAAAAGCTGACCACTTCTGCTTCCCCATTTTGAGTCCTGATTTCTTTTGTTGCTTAGAGCTTATGAGTGAGCTAACTTTTTTTTTTGCCAGTTAGTGTGTTGAAAATGTAATTATAATTATTTTTAAAATTATTTTTTATTTAAAAATATATTAAAATAATATTTTTTATGTTTTAAAAAATATTTTTAAATTTAACATATTAAAATAATTAAAAAATAATTTTAAAGAAAAAAAACTCAAGACTTTTAAAAGGACCATCTGGAATCGGTTCTAACCCGCCAAATAAAAGAAAAAAGACTGAACTAATTACCTTGTAAGCAAACTACCCGAACCCATTCAATTGCAAAATTCCTTCCCTTATTCAGACAACAAACAATTAATAAATAAATAAATAAATATTAATATATTATAAGGTAGTAGTGTTCATGATGAGTATAATGATGGCGTTGGTGGAGGACAACGTGGTTTAGTGATGAAATGTAGGTGGTGGAAATATTGGATAGAAAAAGGCTGAATTATACCCTCCAATAATTAGAAATACGAGACTTCTTTAATCAAAGAAAATGAGAAGACTCTTCTTTAATAGGATAATGCGCAGGAATTCAGTCGAGTAACAAATACAATTACGCATCAAAATTCTCACACCGTCTTCTACCAAGAGTTCTTTCTTGCTCCAATGGCCGTTGTACAGGCACAACAAGTTTAAACAATTGTTCAGCTGTAAAAACTCAAACAGTTTTAGAACCTGAGCCGTTAGTAGAACTATTTAAATTACTATATTTTACAACAACAACCATTCTATACATCTTTTCTAAAATTAGATCAACCACATGGCCGATAGACGTCGTGGTTGTAACACAAGGTGGAGGGCTTCTCATCATTGTCATCAGGGGGGCATTCAACTGCAAAATATTTAAAACATCATCATCATGCATCCAAATAAGCATCAAGTGAGATTTGATAAGGCTGGAATTTAACTTGGTGAGTCAACAGAGTTATAATCTGGAAGTCACTGAGAAGGAAGAACGGGAAAGTACCTCGGTGCAGTCTTCACGATGCAATGCTCCCACACAGCTGCCCCAGTCATCTACAATAGGCACAACTTGATCCCAAAAGAAGCGCATAACCACTTTCTTCAAGTGAAGGGTACCAAGTAAAGGCTTAGCTGCTTTTAGTGGCATCATGATGCTCTCGATTGGTTCACTTGGTGATACCTGAACAGAGAGTTTGAACTCAAGATTGTCAGAGAGGTTCACGTGGTGATCTGTAGCTTGTAGATTGTCAAACATGACCTTAAGTTATCACAGGTGAAAAACTCTCAGTCGCATACTGGCATCTATCATCCATAAACGAGTTTATTTAAGAGTCCAACAAGAACCAAATATTTGCTAACTAAGGGTATTCAATTGGGTTGCGTTCTTGGCAAGAGCCATTCATGTAAAAGAATCGCCCGTGGTGGATCCAGTCTCAACATGTATCCATCTTGTGTTTTTTTCATTATCAGTCAATAGGAGATCCATATATGCTTCAAGAACATGGAATGCTGATAAATAAACTCACGTACCTGAGGAAGCAGATAAGGACTGAATATGGAATTGGTGAATCCCAACAAGGCCTCTATGCGCATAGCAACCTTCATTCCACAGGTAAATTGAGGGTTGGGAACAACTTTAGTAAGAAATAACAGCCATTGCTTAAAAAGTTACATGTAACTTTGCATAATTTCAAAATCCAAAATTCTAGGCTTAGTTGACAAAGCACTAAATAAGTTATGGAAATTTAGGTTCAATCAAGAAATGTCTGAAAGATGTTCTTAACACTGGTTTCCCAAAAGTCAACGTATCCACCAAACACTTGTAATGCTCTGAGCCAGTTGACAAGCAGTAAGAAATGACATTTCAGGTGACTCCAACATTGCATATTACAGAGCATCCAGTTAAACAGATTACTTTATATGAAACCTAAATCAGGGGCGCATAGTCACTCTTCATTTCAATTATTCATGAAAAGTAAATTGCAATTACATACCATGCCTCCTCGACTTGTCCATGGTATCCGTTTCCATTTTAGTACAACATTTGTGAGATTTTCCAGAGCCACATTAACCTGACAAAAGGATAACACACAAACATTGTAATGTTCAGTAATTTCTCAATCACATCAGCTAATCACAGAGAGTAGTACTATTTGGAAACAAGAATAGCTTTATCATTTAAAGAAAATAAAAACACAAAGCAAGTACAATAGCACAGTTGTTTGTAGTACCTGGCCATCATTTAAAGCCGCCTCCATGAGAAGATGATCTGCTTCTTCTTGAAGAGCTAGAGAGATGGCTCCAGATGAATCTGGCCACAATCGCTTGTGCAGATTTTTTACCATATTGTAATCTCCTTGACTGGCAAAAGCACGCATAAGGGAAAGATAGAGGTGAGGCTTTGGTCGAAGCTTTGGGTTCACACCAGCACGTTTTATTATTTCTCCAAATACACAAAGAGCACCTAGATGTATCACAGAAAATATCTCATGAGTGCTTATAAGACTTTTGCTCTATTTTTGTATCAAGAATAATTTAGAACCATTGCTGGTGTAACACCCCTAAATTTGTATTGACTATAATTGGTGATTTCTTTATAATAATGCAAGATTAGAGAAAATTAGGGGACAAAAGTCAAAGAACTAAAATAAAGAAGGTTCAAAATGCAATTACTAACTTAAGTAGGTGAAGTAGGATAAATTTTGCATGATTAAGTAGGTGAAGGAAAACAAGTTTTGGCATGTCATGCTTATCAGGTGTCAAAAGGAAGGTAGAGATGTGCTTTCCTTCAAAATTTTCAGAACCATCTACACCCTTTTCTTGAACTTAAGAGAGAGCAAAACACCATCCTACAAACTAACACTACCAAACCATATATTCCAAGAACAAATTGTAAGGTATTAGTGCTTAAATTCATTAGAATTGTTAGAAAGAAAACCGAAGATAGATTGTGATGTTATAAAAGAAAGGAAAGAAAAGAAAGTAAAGGAAAAAGTAGGGGGTAAAGGGCTAAAGCGCTTATGGTGAGTGATTAAATTAATAAGTATGCATAAATCCTATTGTTTTTGGATGCTTTTATGTATGAAGAATTTCTTTAAATGCTTGCTGGATTTTCAGAATATATATGTATAACCTCAGTTTTCAATGGAAACTTCTTATGATGATTGCTAAATAAGAGTATGACCATTAAAGATTGAAGCATTATGTGTTTTTTAAAGTGAAAGATATGTTTTAGCCCAAATATTGTGTTGATATAATTGCACATGATATGTGAAAAGAAGAAAGCTTGCTTTACATGAAATAGTGGCCACCTATATGCTACATATGCTACCATTGAGTAGTATATGGATATGAGATATGGACATTCAATTGTCATACATGTTTACTTGTGTAAATATTATGTCGATATGATGTTAGGCATACATGTTGAAAACTTATGAAGTTTCCCATGCTTATCTCTTTAATCATTCACTGGGTTATCTCATTAGTAGTTGATAAATTATTTTCATAGAATCAAGATGAGGTTGAAAGAGGGCTCAAGAGATAGGCTACCAACCGAAGAGTCTTTGGAGTCCTAGCTTGAAGTTTAACTTAAGTGATGCTATGGTATCTTTCATAGGTTAGCTTTTGAGTATGGGTCATTACACATGTAAATGCATATTTAAACGTGCCATGCATGGACTCTTTTAGTGTGTAATTGACCAATAGGATAGCTATGTGCAAAGATGTAAGATATAAGTGAATGATCAAGACAAGACAACAAGATCTCATATAAGCTTGTTTGATGGACAGCAGGTTGTGTATGCTTATAAATACATGTCTGGTAGGTAAATTTAATTGATTAGGTAACAATAAGAAGCAATTAGAGAGGTTGGTTTACTTAACTAACTTAAAGCACAATTCTAAAGTGAATATAATCAAAGATACTAAGATGCATTACCAAAGTAATTCGGAGAGGGGTGTGACAGCTAGCGTCAGAAGTGAAAGAAGTAGAAGTTCAACTACACTTTGTGTAGCCTTCACCCATTAAAATGAATCAGATGGTACTATTCAGCATGAAAAAATAAAAACAGAAAGCACTTTTTTTAAAGTATACATGCATGCATATATGGTTAAATGCTTAAATGTTACAAGATGCTGATATTAATTCAAATTTCAATTCCAATGCAGCTTTATAACCTAAATTGATAAGCACTGCAGAACCCTGAGTAAAAATCCAAATGTGGCATACCATTCATGGAACCACAGTTTAGCAATGCATCAACCATTGCTGTGAATGCAGTTCGATCAATAACTAAATTCCGATGCATTTTCATTTCACAGACAATCTTCAGAACTGACAGGAGATCCTTGGCACCACCAAAGCCCTGCAGGGGAAAGGAAAGCAATAAAACAGCTAAATACAAATTGTTTAACTGCAATCTCTGACTCACACACAAGAAGATCAAGAGGCCACTTCAGCAGTAAAATAAGCACGCCATTTTGTTAAATGGTTTTTGAACACTTTGGTAAATATTCTAAATTCTCAAATTCGAATTTCCACAAACGCCTCATCACAAAATAAAGTATATATGCACAATTCACTGACCTGAAGTAATGTTG